ACGTTAGGTCAAGTACGTAATCTTAGAGGAATGGATGCCAAAGATTCCTGATGGTGCACCCATAGACTTTGGAATTCCTTAAACGCCGATTACAAAAGCGAAAAGTTGACTTAAGTAAAGCGTTGTAGCAGGAGTGGCAGAACCTGGAGCAATCTATTATTAATAAGACACTTGCAACTAGCCGATGCGGTGTAGATAGATCTACTATGCCCATGGTACGCAAATTGAACATTTGTTGCAATGAAATGAAAATTATGGAATAATTAAATCAAATTAAAAAGTGTTCACATAAATATGAATCACCTCTAGTATTCTTGTTTAAAATAAAACTGCTGCCTATAAGTATGTGCCTTGTATACAAAACCTACGTTAACCTACTTATCAATTGATCCGCCAGAGGAAAATAAATCCTGTTTGAAATTATTATGCAGACAAACTCACTTCATTTAATAGGCTAATCTAATCTAGATGTTAAATCAGAAGTAAATTTTTAAAAAATGCTTTCCGATCAAGGCTTTACGTAATAATTAGCAAACAAATTTACATGACTTGAAGAATATTCCGTTTTTTGTGCCCCCACTTTAGTGGCGGGCATTTAGATTTACCCTTGTCCGTCCGTCCGTCCGTCCGCTCTCTTTTGTGTCGCACGTAACTCAACAAGTATTTGACCTAGAGTCATGAAACTTTACAGGAATGTTGATCAGCATGTGTAGTTGTGCACCTGGGTATTTTTGTGCAGATCTATATAGTATTTTTAGAGTAATTGCCCTTGCCTTAGTAAAAATTTGCAATTTTCAACTTTTGTCGCATGTAACTCAAAACGAATTTGACCTAGAGTCATGGAACTTTATAGGAATGTTGATCAGCATATGTAGTTGTGCATCTGGGTATTTTTGTGTGGATCTATATAGTATTTTTAGAGTTATTGCCATTGACTTAGTAAAATTTTGCAATTTTCAACTTGTGTCGCATGTAACTCAAAAAGAATTTGACCTAGAATCATGAAACTTTACAGGAATGTTGATCAGCATGTGTAGTTGTGCACCTGGGTATTTTCGTGTGGATTTATTTCATATTTTTAGAGTGATTGCAATTGACTTAGTAAAATTTTGCAATTTTCAACTTGTGCCACATGTAACTCAAAAAGGATTTGACATAGAGTCATGAAACTTTATAGGAATGTTGATCAGCATGTGCACCTAGGTATTTTGTCTGGATTTATTTAGTATTTTTAGAGTTATTGCCCTTGACTTAGAAAATTTTTGCAATTTTTAACTTGTGTCGCATGTAACTCAAAAAGGATTTGACATAGAGTCATTAAACCTTACGGAAAGGTTGCTCAGCATATATAGTTCTGCACCTGGGGTTTCACTTGTAGATTTATCCAGTATTTGTAGAGTTATTTCCCTGTACTTAGTAAAAACGGTTTCATGATGTTGTTATTTGTTCCTTGAGTGCTTGAGTTAGAATCAACCAACTTTACAGGAATAATGATCAACATCACTAAATAACAGGAATAATGATCAACATCACTGTGAAGCTATGCACCGGGGACTTTGCATGTGGATTTTTTTTGTTTTGTTAGAGTTTTTGCCCTTGACTTACAGTAGTATAAATTTGCAATTTTCAACTTGTTCATGCATAGCTCAAAAAGTAGTTGACTTGTAGGCCTGAAAGTTTACAAGAATGTTGGTCAGCATGTGAACTTATGCACCTTGGGGTTTGCTTGTGGATTTATTCCGTATTTGTAACGTTCTTGCCCTTTACTTAGTAAAAGATTTTTTAGTTTTCAACTTGTGACACATGTTTGTCCAAAAAATATTTGACCAAGAGTCATAAGATTGACAGAATAGTGGCATGTGGGGGCACCCGTGTTCTATGGACACATTTCTAGTTTTAAAAAAAGATTCCATATTATCTAATAATTTATGTGTAATAAGATAGATTTTAATTTTTTTTAATTATAGTTACAATGACCATGTTGTTCCGCATTTTCACACGTGACAACCTGATTGTTGAGAAGGATCATATCCAAATGCGGTAGCTTCACAGTCATTTGCTGAACAATAGACATCAAAATATAGAAGAAATGAACAGCTTGACCTACTTTGAAGTAAATTATGAAATGACTCTTAAATATTACTTTGGTTTGGGGTTTTTTATTGATGCTGTATAGCGACGGCTGATCGTTATCTGTAAAGTATGAGTTCAGATGACTTAGCCCCTATTGGATAGTTATGTAGGGTAAGAGAACATAAAAACCCAAATGTAACAATAAACACAGGTATACAGTCCCCTACAAAACAATGATAGTTAGCTTAACCGTGTCAACCAAACCTTATATTAAAGATATCAAAAGACGTCCATCAAAGCACAGCACGTGTCATATCTCAAACAGGCACTGTACACGGTATAAATTGAATATTTGAAAAGCTAAGCCTTCTTGGAAGAAAATATTTAATACTACGAGGGCTGTCCGGAAAGTTCGTAGACAAGGCTATCAAATAATAATAAGCAGTCATATTAATAAGATGATTAAATATTTTGCTTAAGTATTCATTCTGCTACAAATTTCTAAATTAAAAAACATGATAAAAGTTGTATTCGCAAATCGCCAATCACCATGGCAACATGATCAACGAATCACGGAGCACTTTGATTTCATGACAATATCTACTCGAATAAAAAGTTGCTAAAAGTTGTAATTTTAACCTAAACTCTTGTTTTAATGTTGTGACATCAAATGATACTACTGCTTGATATTTAGTGAAAATTACGACGTCATACGCAAATAAACAACTTGTGAACGACGATTATTGGCAATGAAGTTGCGTTAGTTTTGTGTCGCAAAAATGACGTCAAATTCATGGACGGAGCACTGTAATGTTATTTTACTTCAAAGCAACGCTAATAATGATTATAATCTTTACTTGAAAAACAAAATCAACCATAAATCGTTAAGGACAACTTGTGTTTAATTGTCAAACACGATTAAGAAGCGGTGATGACAGTATTTTGTATAAGAAACGTATCAGATTACCAAAAGTAGCATGGCCGAAATGTCGTAGATAATGATTGCGTTACAACAATCATTGAAAAAGACAGACATATCACACACTGTATGGGAACCAGTGACACCTTTGTTGTTGTTGTTTTTTTTAATGTAGTATATATTAATAAAGTAATAGCAAGGGAACATAACATGTATTAAGTATACGCCAGACAGGTTCCATGGCTGTTTAAATCGGAAAGAATTGAATAGTGGATAAACATGACATTCAATTGACGCCGTTGACGTTGTCAAAGTGCTCCATGACGATGTATATATGTTGTATGTAAATTCTTAAAAATACAAACGTAAGTCACAATTCAGTAATTTTTGATAAATGTGTTCGCTAGATATGTATATTTTTGCTGACAAAATTTGTACAACGTATGTATTGTTATACAATAAAAAATGAAGAAGTATATGAACTTTCCGGACATCCCTCGTAAAATATACCATTTTCACAAAGCCATTATGTTCAAAATATGTTTCATGCTAAAGAATTGTTCATGTCAAAATATTATCATGACTGGAATTCTATTATTATCTGCTCTGTTTACCCCAACCTAACCTAATCAACTTCTTATTCTTCTTGTTACAATAAACGTGAGTATATAAAAACTGTAACAGACCATCAAAAAATCTCTTAGGGCAATAAGCGATAACATTTCTTTGTGAACAGTGTGTTTTATGATTAAGATATGCATATACATGACATAAAAGCCTAAATGATAAATAAGTGAAATTATTATTTTACCTTGCAATGATGTGGTGATTCACATAAGCTTCGCGCTTTCCTTGCAATGTAGCTGACATGAATCAATAACAGTGTCTTACAATTTAATTGGCTGGATCAAGCTTTACATTCCAAAGTCTTGAAATAAAAAACTGTTCTTGTCAAAAAGTCTTTATGTATGAATTTTAAAGTTATATTTTATGTATGCAGCCACCGTAAACTGAACTTTGGAAGGAATAGAAGAAGTTGATTGGCAAAATAAGTAAGTATCAATGAGCTGCTTTCTGTTTTGCTTGCTCTCGACTAAGCAAAAAGTGAAGCAAAATGTGGTATTTAGAAAACAAATCTAGAAAATAGAAGAGAGCAATGAAATCAAAATTCAGAAATGAATATTGTAGACACGGATTTACTGACTCTGCTCAACACAATAGTACACGCTTTTTAAGTATTCAATTATCAACACAATAAACTTTTTGAATAAATGATCCCGAAGGACCCGTAAAATATAACAACACTAAAGTGAAGTTCGGGGTAATATTTTACAGCTGGATATCAAAACTTGACAACTTAAGTAAGCAAACTAAGCAACTATCGTCATTTTGTCCGGATGCTCAATCTTATGTCGGTCAAGACATGACTTGTTTTCGTTATACATATTATAAAAACCCTTTTTACATAGTTTAAGTGACACAAGCACTATAAAGAACAGATCACTTCTGACTGAGAAGACCGCCATGAAAATATATAATGTAAATTCAGTATGATATATGTTTAATGATATGTTTTTACATGTGCCCTTATTAAATGGGTTAATGTTATGTATTGGATTTGAATTAAAATGATAACCTGTATGGCCAAATCTTGCATATTACTACCTACATTATATTGGTTACTTCAACTTCTCACGAATGCAATGAATATATCAGACGATTTAAATATCGAAAAGTAATTTAATGAAGGTAAGTTTCAAACTTTTGAACTTTTTTCACCAATTTCAGTAAGAACAAAATGTACAATAAAGAAACATTCAGAATAATTTTTTAAACAATATCGCTCGTGGTTTTGGCTTTGCCATATTTCCTTTTTACTGAAATTAAATATTTATTGCCTAAATTAAAATAAATCAAGAAAATTTCGACATTTTTCAGCATTTTGTCTTTTCCAGACTGTGCATGTTTAAGAAAGTAAATACATGTACATCCACGAAACTAAAGGCGTTTCAAAAAGAAGTCGATACATGTATATAATATTATTTCTATAGCCTATACTATACTTTAGAAAAGATGGAGACTTCAGCAGTTTCAAGCCCAGACAAAATTATAGAAGATCTTGGAGGATGTGGTCGTCTCCAGATAAGAATCGGCATTACAGTTCATGCAACTAAAGGTCTCATTTGCTTTAGTATAATGAGTATGATATTGATTTCGGCGACTCCACAATGGTGGTGTGTTAGTGACGTCACATCTTCTAATATGACGTCATGTGTAGACAGCAAAAACAACTCATTGTTTTGTCATGAAAAGAAATGTCATGTAAATGGTACTAAATGCAGCCGATTTGTATTCGAAGGAAGTGCTAGAACTGTGGTTACCGAGGTAATGTTAGCTTATTTCATTTGAAGGGAATATACTGGTTATGACGAAGTAAATTTGAAAAATTCGTCGAGACGCTATACGTCATCTTACTGGCTATAGGTTAGTCCATCGGTATCAGAAGATATCTTAATAACACAAATGTAGTCTGTCCTAGCACTTTAAGATATTATTCCCACCAAACAAAGGCATTACTTTATGTATGTGTTATCACTTTAATGTAAGAGCATTAATGCATACAGATCTGTAAACGAAAATTAATGATCTGCAAATAAGATTAGTTTTTTAATATAAATATTTTTTCTGTGAAATTCTACTGAATTATAACGTTTAAATATTTAATTTCAGTTCAAGCTTTTATGTGGGCTAGACTATATACCGAGCACGGTCATGTCAATGCAGACATTTGGCATGCTTGCCGGTGCTCTTGCAGCCGGGCAACTTTCAGATCTTTTTGGAAGGAAACCGCCTTACTTCGCTGGCCTCTTATGTCTATTGATCTTCAATTTGATAGGTTTTTTCTCTGTAAATTGGATTATGTTTGCAATAGCTAGACTTTTCATTGGTATAGGCTCCGGGATGTTTTTAGCTATACAATATTGCATAGTGTCAGAGTTCTCTCTTGCTAGATGGCGTGCATGGGTTACAGGTTTTCCAAGCTGGCCTATTTTGTCATGTTTGTTTGCATTGTGCGCATGGCTGATTCAGGATTGGCGTTATATTCAACTACTGTGCTGCCTCCTTGCTTTGCCTTGCCTTCTGACTTGGTTGTAAGTCAAGCATATATATTTTAATTGACCTTAGCGAATTGATATAAATTACATAAGTTGCTGATAAAGTATATTGAAGAATATAGGATCAACGAGTAATTCAAGTATATAGTCATGTTTGTGGTTTAACTTTAAGTTATGATTGTGAAGATATATCATTTGAATGGAGAAGTTTACCATAAGAAAACAAAATGTAACAATAAATTTTATAAATGCCCATGCATAGTTAACAGTCTGTACTGAAAAATTATTGTCAATTCGGAAACATCCGTTCTTCACGGTTTATACGACACAGTATTCAAAGCGTGTACAAAGGGTAGAAGCTAAAGTGATGACTTGGTTGCAAAAATGGCCGTTAAAATGTTTTGAGTGATAATTTGTAAATCTTGTTAATGTAACTTAGTTTTTTAACTAATCTTAATTCAAATATGATCAGTCTTATTTCTCATTTAAATCAAGATGAAATAGCAAACAAAGTAACACTAGTCTTAAAAGATTAAAAAAAAAACAATTTTCCCTCAAAAGGACTTTTTGTTTTCCATATTTTCAACTAAAACATGTTCAACTAAAACATCATATGCTTTTACGACGTTATTCAGATCAAGATATTACCTGATGCCTACTGTTAAGTCAAATATCTTACATATTCTTCAAATACTTGAATCTAAATTGCGCCAGGTGAACATCTATTATACTTCCATACTGGACGCTGTAGCAATCAATATAATTTTCTATATTTGGCAGTTAATTGCGTTCGGCATTTTCCATAACGTCAATGGTAAAAGCTGTTCTCGACTAAAGTATCCGAATGATTTCTTTAAAGAGCAATTGTCTTGTTTAATCTCGACAATATTAAGACGCAATTCCTTAATATAATTTGGATACAGAATGAAGAGGTTATTGAACATTTAACAAATACAATATGGGAATATATCTGGACGAGTACAAAGCCATTGAAATGATATTAGACTGAGCTGGATAAATCATATTTGACGAGCCACCACGCGTGTCTAATAATATTTCTAAGTATGTGTAGTCGTCCAAATATATACCCGCATTGACAAGTTAAATATTAAATAATTTGTTAACAGTTACAACTTATTTAATTTACTTTTTGCATTTCTTAAAAGACACTTTTTTTTCAGCTTTTACCTAAAAATTTTTCGATGGTTTTATAGCTAGAGATCGCTTTGAAGATGATCTAAGGGTTTTTTTAGCATTTCTATGTAACCCGCCCCCCCTCCCCCGGGCTTTTTTCCAAACTTGATATAAAAAAAACCAAAAAAGGAAAAAAGTTTCTTTTTTTGTTTTTTCAAAAATTTAATGAAAAGGCGCGTATTTGCGGCTATCCTGGTAATATTGGCATTTTCAATTTCCCATAAATTTTAAATTTTTCTTTTAAAAAATTTAAATTTAAAATTTTACTTATTGGGTTTTATATCTATTTTTCTATTCATCTAATTTTAATGTATTTGAAATAAAAAATTATCCCGTTTTTTGGGCAAAAAATAAATAAAAGATACTCTCGAATTAATTTAGTAAATCGGTCATAATAGAAAAAGGTCTGGGGTAAAATAAATATTCATTTGAAAAATTTTTAGTATCAATTTTTTGAAAAAAAATTTCGTAAGAATTTTTTTATGGATGCTTTTGGGGCCCCTACTTTACATAATCAAATATGAACCAAACAATCCCAATGGCCCCAAAAAACCCAAAGTTTTAAATAATTTTTAAATTTCATAATATAAAACATCATTTTAAAAAACCATTTGGGAACCATAAAATATCCAAAAAATTTACGTTTCATCAATATTAAAAAAAAATTTAAAAAGGGGGCCTCATTGAGAAAAATTTAAAACTAAAAAAATTATTTTGGGCCCTCGTTTTAAGCGATTTTAAAAAGTGGTCATCTTTTTCCCAATGCATCACCGTTTTTAGCTTTTTTGTTAAAAGCTACAATGAGCCAATGTCACGTATAGCTCTATACGGCCGAAATTTATTGCATCAATATTTTTACATGCCTAATTCAAAAAGCGCATTCAATTGCAATTATTATCTTACTTACATTCTTCATTTATTGACATATACAATATAGAAACGCTTCATCGTAAGCCATAGTTTTATCAGTCGATTTTTTTATTAACGTCGAAACATAATCATGTCGGTGGAATCAAATATCTGACATGTAACAAATTTTGTAGTTATGTACTATTTTTTGTAGAAATAACAACCTTAAGATGTACATGCTTGGCTTTATGATATACCTACATACATTTTAGAAATATGCTTATGTTTATGGTTCCGTCTGAATATATGCCCCGTAATATTGCTGTTTATTTATTTTTTAAAGCCTGAATTGTTTGTTTCTGCAATGTCTAGGCACCCATTGACTGACATTATTTTCATACGGGCCAAATTAGCCACATTTTACATGTAAATAAAATTATTAAATTATTTTATTTTTTTTATTTGTAAAAATCCCAACCTCCACAAGACACATGTCCTTTTCTGATCAGATTTGTTTCATAATGACTTTCAAATGACATTGTTTTGCAAAAAATATTCTTTCTCTATGTAGGTTTGCTCTTGGCCTGGTATTCTATGGTATAAGTTTCGGTATCCAAGCATTAGCAGGAAATATCTACCTAAATTTGTTCTTGTTCAGTGTCGTCAGCATACCTGCAAAAATAATCACGGTCTATTTGACGAATAGGTAAGATCTATTGTCGTAAATATGCCACACATAGGTGGCTTTATTTCAAATCATCAAAGCGGTATGTACATGTATCCAGATCATCAGGGCCAGGCTCTGGTTATTATAACAGTCTCGAAGTAAATAGTGAAAAGGCGTAAGTATTTTCTACTTTTTTTTTTCTTTAAATCATGTCAATTTCAATCTTTGTAAAAGATACACGTAGACAATATTTACGCTATTTTTAAAGATTTAAAGTCTTTTATTATCACCAGAGCCTGGCATTGCCATCATGTCTTGATGATAATGATACATACTGTGATATAAATAAATAACTCGTATAGATTCTACTGTATTTTATCGTTTTCCAAAATATTTATATACACATCGATTGAAAGGCATTATAGCATAACATTCATTAAAGCTTCGTCAGTTGTAATTTGACAAATGAATACTTCATTTCAAACCATTACACATTGCATCCAGTTTTACAACATTTAATTAATATGAAGAGGAATCAGATTGCTTTTTTTTTCTCTTTTTCTCTATTTACTTAGTGTAGATACTCTAAACCCGAAATTAACAATAGAAAAAAAACAAATGAACATTATTAGAATTTTGTCACCATTCCAATTCAAACGTTGTTTTTTCAAAATATCCTGTATGAAAAGTATTGTATTGTGGATATATATGACATTTTAGATTAGGGCGAAGGATTGCAGCTATGATTTGCTTTTTGGGTGTCGCAGTTGGTGGGCTTGTGGCCGGGATAGCTCAAGCTGTTGGTAAATATACTTCAAATATGTATTTCATTCGGGGGGATGGGGGTTAATGAAATTAATGTTTTGTTGTTTGTTTGTTTGTTTGTTTTTGTTTGTTTTCTTTTTTACGTTACAACACTATGTTAACACAAGTCTTTCCCTTTTTTTACCTTGTATGCATAATTGATATTGCCAAATTTTACGTTCGATACGATTTTTAAAAGTTGGTCAGGTGTTGTGCCTTCTTATCAATTTTTCCTTTTATAACTTAAGCCCTGTGTTGACAGTAAAAACATATATCATACAATTTTTGTGTCAGATTAGACATAAAATATGATAGATAAGGCAATTTTTTACGTATATCCATTATCAGATACTCCACATCGTGACCTGCTTACAAAATATGTTTGCTATCATAGCAAGTATAACCATCAACATGGCTTGGGGACCAATACAGACAATGACAATAGAAGTTTACCCTACTGTTATAAGGTATGATGGTTTTTCCTGTCCATCCTTCAAAAAAGTATATCAAGTATTCAAAATGATACTTCCTTGATAAATACCTAAATAATAAACATGACTCAATCAAACTACGTCAAAATTTTAAAAAAGAATTCCTTGTTTCCTTTCCTATCGAAGAATCGTTTTTATTAACATTCATAAAGAAATCGTTCAAAATATAACGTTTTTGCTGTTGTTACAAGTAGCTGACGTTTTTTTTAAAACATGTCTTATATAAAATCATCTATTGCTTCAGGATGACTGGAAAAATATTAATTACATAATGAAGCATATTTCGGTGTTATGTGATTTGTCATTAAATGCACTTGCAATTGTTTCAGAAATATCGGTTTCGGATCTTTAAGTGTCATTGCCCGCTTTGGTGCAATTCTAGGACCACAGTTTGTTTACTTGGTAAGAACATCAAAACAAACGTTATTTCCTCTCTCACTTCGTTATTTCCTCTTCTGATAATATTGTTACAACAACAGGATATTGGCATTTTAAGTTACATTTTGTTGATCACGTCAACCCGTCGTTTTTGCCGTAAATAATGTAAAATCCCAAGCTCTCTTTCACCAAAATGAAATATCACTCATTGAAAACATTGTTTTGTTTTGCTATACTGGTTAGAGAGATAAACTCCGACACAAAGATAACCCTGACACTTGGTTTAATTTTTTTATTTATCGTCAAAAAACAAGCACATGGTCACCTAGTAATACAGGAGAAGAATAGACTGTGATGAGATTTTTTTAATTTGCTAATCTTTTAAATGTGTTTGTGTTGACCACAATTTTTGTCACAACAACAGCCACAAAACGTTCTTTTTACTTAACTTCCAGACAGGAGTTAGAAATGTCTTGAACACAGGCTTCTGACTTGGGAAAATTTCTTTAAAAAATTGTTAAATTATCAATGAGGCATAGATAGAGCATATACAATGTAAAAATAAATGATTGATTCTAAATTTAAAGCTAGCTTTTATGTTAGAATTAAAGTATCGACTTTATCTAATGTCCAGGGTTAAAAAGACCATGTTTCGGTTACCTTAATTATGATCTTAAGGAAGTACCAGTTTCCATTTCAATAAAGGAAATTTGCATATGATTATAAATGTTTGAACCAAACTTTTTAGGTGGGTAAAAATGTATAATATTCACAAAAATGAAAAAAAAAGATATTTAAAGAAAATAGTGATTTAGTGTTAACTTTAGAGTTAACTCTCCAACCAGTATCTAGAAAAAGAAAAAAGAAAAAGTTTGTATAATTTAGTACAAATTTGTATTGTATAAAGTATATTTACACTTCTAATGCTCATATGTATTTCGTTGATGCAAAGAATTCTTTAACCTAAATATTTCATAAATATTTTCAAACGATTCAAGCGTTAATAGTTCGAGACTTCCAAGGTGACCTTCTGTTTAATCTTTAAGGCGCGGACAGATATCTCTATAGGTTTTTTGACTTCATCTACACAGCAATATGACGGCATGTTTATTCAATTTCAGTAAATATAATATCCCATTTCTTTTCTAACAAACTTTATTTTCAACATAACATCTTTCTAATCTATCTCCAATGTAATTTTTCTGAATATATCACTGTTGGTTTATCTGTTTTCATGAAGAACATGTATGTGCCAGGATTGTTGTTCTTCGTTTGTGGTGGAATAGCGGTATTGTGTCTTGTCTCACAACAGTTTTTACCGGAAACGCGAGATTCAAAATTTAAACGACAAACTACACAAACAGGAAGTGGACGTAATGCCCCTCGAGAGAAAGATACTGATATTAAATGACTTTCAACTTTGGTGTGTAAAATATGTATATATAAGCATTCTCTTACTTAAATTAAGACAACTATATATTTAAAATGGCTGTATAAAGCAAACCCAAAATATCTATCACTATATATATAGACACTATGGTTTGCTTTACAAGCCATTTGAATAAAAATGTCTTAATTTAAAATAAGTGAATATGTTTAAAGGAGAATATTTCTATAAGACTCGTCTTTCGTTTTCATCCTATTGCATTATGTAAAATATTTTATTTGTTGAATATTTGTGTGTACATTACATATTATACGTTTGAAACAAGAGAGTGTGTTTTTTTTTTCTTTAGCAGCAGTGAATTTTACTATAATTAAATAATAATAATAATTATAATATTTTATAGAAAAGTACCACATCTAAGATAATATGTATTAAAATAATTTAAATTATTTTTAATATAAAATAGAATCAAAAAGTAAATATTAGTAATTGTTATAATAACGATGTTTGTTTGTATGCTTGGCTTAGGCTTTAAAAATAAATGTTTTTGTTATCATGCACTGGTTACGTCCATGCCTGACTATATTATCATCGCCTATTTTATAGTTAGCGCACATTCGCTATTCCTTACATCAATATCAACATATTGGAGGGATGTCACAAGGCATACTATTCGTAATAAAAAAACATATCGCATCATCTTCTACAACTGAACCATTCCATATCTTATTTTGCAATTAACGAAATTAGCCGTAGAGGTAGCTCAACGAACCGTAAGTGTATAGACTCTGGATTGTCCTTAAGAAGTATTATATTTTTTATTTTTGTTGGTTTTCAATATTATTGTAATTCAAATTCGAATCTTATATACACTAGGCAATTTTAGAACATTAAGTTTTACAAAGTCTGAAGTTACAGTCATCATACTAGTAGTCAATTAATTAATTCTGCTAAATTTATTGAATAAATAGCAATGAAGATAGTAGATATACTCATCAAATGTGCCAAATATGTTTTCATATATGGTAAATGACTGTTAAAATTCAAATACATTATTTTATTTACCGCTAACCTTTTATGGTTTACTTTCAGGTATAATAATATATAATCATAATAATAATGATATAATAATAATAATATAATAAAGTAATAATAAAGATAGATATAAAAATGCCCTTTTTTAATGGAATTCGAAACAGGGTCCTACATCACGTAGACAATACACTCTACTTTTACCGCTGTGAAAAATTTAAATGATGAAAAGTATGGCTTTTTCTAAAAGAATAACGACACCTAATGTATTAAGAAATTAATGTTTAACAGAATAATGAAAGGAACAGCGAAAGTTGAGCAATACACGTTTTTTTCAGTAGGACAAAAGGTTCAATATTTTTGTTTGCTATTATATTCAATTCGTTGCTGATTGTCATTTTTTATATGTGGGGTCCTGGTATCATTACTATATTGAAGTATTTGTACGTGTTTGGTATCGTTTTAATCATTGTTACCTATTCTTTATATGATGATATTTTATCATACTTCTTAAAACAACAACAATACCAATTTCTTCGTGCTATTTTGTCTGCATTTCGGTCTAAATTAGACCAGTCAAACTGATAATTTAAAAAACCCATTAAAGTACGCAAAACGCAAGTTCTTAGACACCCAGTCCAGTGTATATAGGTTGCTTATATTTCATTTATTTCCATAGATTTAGATAAAGCAAGTATATTATATTCCTAACCCCCGAAGAATATGCTTTGTAAGAAACGTAATTTAAAGTATTGAAAAATAAAACATTCAAAAACTCGTTTTATTATGGATTTTAAGGATACAAGTTTGAAAGCCCAGTTACATTGTATAAACAGTTGCCAACACCTTATAAAATGCCAGTATTATAGATAATAGAATATCCGTTGATATCACTTTATCACGTTGTTTCTCCCTGTTACCGATGTACATAGATAATGTACTTTAAAAGACTAGTAGCATTTTATGCTGTAACTTATATTTAAAACCTCATACAATTGTTTTATAAATGTTGCAAGTTATTTTCATAAAAACATTTACATTTGTATGAATTACGGCCATTAAGCAGACTAATTATAAAACAAACTAATTTCGTGGCTTTATATTGGTTCATTTTGAGTGCCTGTCAAAAATGTCCATAGTGAATTAGTGTATATGTCTTGCATCTCGTCGGCCAGGGGTTGATTCCGTCCATTAATCAAGTCGTCTGCCATTTATTACACCGTTTGTTAGTCTGGCTCTAAGCCGTCCGTGGCGGTTTATTACGACACAGTTGTTCCAGTACAAGTGTCTCGATATAGCAGCCAACCCATTTATGCTGTCCGACTCCGCATATTGGTGTTCTGGTTGCACGTGTAGACTGTGCGTCTATAAACCAATGATGTTAAGGCATTTGATTTATTGCCTATCATTTTCTAGACTTGTTCAATTAAGGTGAATTCTCTCAGGTGAATTAGAACAGTTTACGAGCTCATCTCGATTCGAATGGTTTTGACGTTCAAAATTCGACGGATTTCATTATTTATACACTGCGAGACGTCTACGTTCAGATGTTTAGGACAAATTGTACATAACAAGTATAATGTAAAAAATTAAATAAACACAAAAATGATTTACATATTGAAAAAAGGATGAGATGTAGAACGAAAAACGAGTCTTATAAATCTACCTCATTTAAACATTCGGTTACTTGTTCAATAAGACACTAATATTTAAACGGGCTAAAGCATTACCATAGTATCTATCATATAAATAGAACACATATTTTAACAGTCTAACACACACAAAGTTGAAGTCAATTTGATATCAGTATCTTTCCCTCCAGGGGCAATTACGGATTTATTGTTCCCGTGTGCAAGCATGACTATCATTTTCTTCACGCTCGATGGTTGTGGAGAGTGCGCTCTTTGGGGACCGTCTTTGCGTTATTGTCTTTCATTCCAGGTAATGTATTTAGTTTGGTGTACTGCGTATGCCTTAGTAAAATTTAGGCATTAATCAAGATCTCCTCGTCTTACGATAGTTGACAAGTAGTGCATGTGTCTGTTTTTTTTTTTTGTTAGCCTCATGTATCCGCTAACGTAAAGATAAGTAGAAAGATTTAACGCTATGTTCCTATAATTTAGAGTCTATCATTTATCATCAAAGCCCCTGGCATACCACCGCCCATGTTTTAAGAATGATATACAGTGGACATATTTTTAATATATAGTAATTAAAGCACATCGTAAGAATTCCTTCCTGTATTTATTGTTTTTCCCAAAAATTTTATACTACCTGCATACCAAATATTTGAACGCATATAAATAAATAACTTCAAAATTCCAATCTAAAGCTTTGTCAGAGTGTTAATTTAACAAAGTAGAATTAATGAAAAAGTTTAAAATGACAACCATTTTGGTTCCAATTTCACCAGCAAATTTAATTAATACGTACCATAAAATAGCGTTGCTATTTCATTTTTTTGTTTTGGTTCACCTGATTGCCTTCTCTCAATCATCCTGTCTAACAGTCTTCTAGATACCATTGCCAAACAGAAAATTTGTAAAAAGCAATGTCGCTAAACAATAAAATATGGAAGGAACAAAAGAAAAGACGAACATATTGTTGAATTTTGGTAATCATTTCGTGTTAATGTTCGTTTTTCAAAATATACTTGTATGAAAAAGTACTGTATTTTATATATATTTGAAATTTTAAGATTTGGACAAAGGATTGCAGCTTATTTTTGCTTCTTTGGAGTCGCAGTTGTTTGGCTTGTGGCCGCAATATTAAGCTGTTGGATAAATATACTTCAAATGGTCTTTCGGTCGGTAAGTAAAATGATATGAAATAGTGTATTTGTTTAGTTTAGATTATCTGTTATGTTTTGATTATTTTTATTTGTTTGTTGTGGTTTGTTTAAGTCTGTTTTGTTTTGTTTTACGTTACAAATTATGTTAACACAAGTATTTCCATAGGTTGACAATAAGTTTTTTATTTGTACCTTTTTAATCACTTAATTGTCTATTGCAAAACTCTACGTTCGGTACGATTTTAAAGCAGTTGGTGATAGTTGTGGGTAGAACCAATTCATATCGATTTTCTTCTTAAGACTATAAGCAGATGTTTAAGTACAATTCAGATACTTTGTCTGGATGGGGTCGGGGCATATCAGACTTTGTTCATCAAAGGACTTAATCATTTGTGGCGGTTGAACAAACACACACGAACATTGCACAATTATATGTTGGTTTACGAGAAACTTTACTAGTATTATGTTGCCTTTGAATGAAGATGGAAATAAAAAATAATTTGTATGTGCATTTTTATATGAATACGCCCTTTTTTATTCATTTTAAGAAGAAAAATAAACTGAAATAAATTGTATAACAAAAGAATATACTTTATTTAGCATTAACTTGTTGTTTATATTGTGTCAAGATAGACATAATATGTATAGAGATTAGAAATAATATTTTATATATCGCGTACGCAGAATAATCGTATCCTGCTTAACAAAAATATTGTTTTGCTGGATCTAGCAGTATGAACCATCAACGATGGACTTGGGGACCAGTTTCTAGAACTATGAACAATAAATGTTTTACTCACTACTGTTATAAGGTGGTGTTTTAATTCAATGCCTAGTCTTCCAAAAGTATAGGAAGTAATAAAAGCAGTTATTACATTGGATAATTATAAATTGTAACAATACTGGATCAAAACAGGTCAGGAATTTTATTCGCAAGAAATATTATGTTTGTTATACTAAATTTCGTTCCAGGAGGGATCTTTTTTATCAGATAATTACACGCAAAGAAATCGTTCATCATAAAAATATAACGTTTTGCTGTTGTTACAAGTAGCTGACGCTTTTATTTTAAAACATGTCTATTGTTTCGTTGGGGCTGGTGACTGAAAATATAACTGACTTCATAATGAAGGCATATTTCAGTGGTTTATGTGATTTGTCAATAAATCAATACTTGCAATTGGTTTCAGAATATTGTGGT